TTTTAACATTTTTTAAAATTTACAAAAAAAAGTCACCAGTGGTTGGATTCGAACCAGGAACTTCTTGTTTGGAAACTCAGCGCACTAACCATGCTGGCATGTTGATTACCGAAATTTTAAAACTATATAAAAATTGTTTTTAATGGATATAGATGCTAAAGTTCAGAAATTAAGGTGAGGTTGACACAATGCAACTTTTAAGTGAAAGTCAAACTGTAAAACCTGATATATGCTTAAGTATGTTTTAAACTACATAGCATGAAGTTTATATGCATACAATATAAGTTTTATGTTTGCTCAGGTTTTCTTATAAAGAAAAGTTGATACTCTTTCTTGCCAAAACCTTGGTTGCAATGGCTGCCAAAGGTTTCGTATCAAATACGCTCCAAGGGACACTACTACTATTAAAACTATTAATAAAACTATTAAGTTCGGCAATAATATATGTTATATATGTATATATATATATATATAAATATATATATATATATATATATATATATATATATATATATATATATATATATATATATATATATATATATACACACATAAAATAATGGAAGAGCTATTAGACACACAAAAATATGTATGTAATGTATATATATATATATATATATATATATATATATATATATATATATATATATATATATATATATATATATATATATATATATATATATATATATATATATATATATATATATATATATATATATATATATGTATATATATATAAATATATATATATATACACACATAAAATAATGGAAGCGCTATTAGACACACAAAAATATGTATGTAATGTATATATATTATATATATATATATATATATATATATATATATAATATATATATATATATATATATATATATATATAATATATATATACATATATAAATGTATATATATATAAATATATAAGGCTTGGACAGGAATGACGTGCGATTGAGCTCTATTGCTGACCATGCAAATGATTTTATTTTTTGACAACTTGACCACGATTGTTTCATAATTGTTAGACGATTTTCACAATTGTGAGAGCGTTAATGGAAAAAGTTAAAACCCAGACTGTTGAACGATACGAGTTCAAATCTCGCCACCATCAACTCAGCGCTTGAGTAGTACTTGGGTACGCAAAAATGTTGGTCAATAACGGACGCTACTTTGGATTAGTCTTAATGACTATTTGTGGCTGTTTCTATGCTAAGCCAACAATATCTTCAGATATAAGAACATTGTATAGAAAAATATAGCATGAAAACTCAATTAAATAAATAAAAAATAAATAAATAAATAAACAATGTTGATATGTTTTGATGAGTTAAAAATTTCAGAAATGTTCTGAAT